GACTAGTCAGCTGGCCGGGTCTTCTGCAGCCTGAAGGATGAAGGCCACAAAAGCCCGCCGCGTGTTAATGACTGTATGAAAGCGTTTATGACCCTCAGCGCACTAAAGATGACATTATGGCGCAATTACTCCGCCTGCGTGCCACTCACACAATGGACCAGGCGTCGATTCTGGCCTGAAAACACAAAAGAGGAGGTTCTACACAAGATCGACTCGCGACCTCGGCTGTGTTATCTGTGCGTGTTTACACACACTTTGGTAAAGAATAGCTGAGGTGGTGCTGGGTTATCAAACTGACCTCTTGCTGGCCTTGGAAATCCAACCCTGAAGCTTAAAGGGTTAGTTCACCCAAAAATGAAAATTAGACTGTGTTTTACTCACCCTCGAAGCATCCTAGGTGTATATGACTTTCTTCTTTCAGACGAATCCAGTCGGAGTTATATTAAACATTGTCCTGGCTCTTCCAAGCTCTATCATTGCAGTCAGCGGGTGTTGCAGTTGAACAGTCCACAAGTCGTCAAATAAAGCGCGTGCATCCATAATAAAACTTGCTTCACACGGCTCCGGGGGGTAAATAAAGGCCTTCTGTAGTGAATCCATGCGTTTTTGTAAGAAAAATATTCATATTTCAAATGTAATAAACACTTTTCTCTCACTTCCGTTATCTGTCATACACAGAAGGCGTTCCGGCGGATGACGCAAGACGTATGCGCAGCGCGCACGCCTCTGAGGTATGCTAGTCTCGCGAGTTTGTTTATAGGAGCAAAGGAAGCAAAGTTTCCTTACTTTAGCAAAGGAAAACCAGTCTCCTCTTTGCTTATATCGAAATCCTCCGACATTTTTCTTTGCAAATCAAAAAAAAAAGTTTTTTACTTCTAATTCGTGACCGGCGTTTTGTTTTGTTCTCTCTCCGCGTTGGTCACTAATCACGCAACGCCGACGTGCTACGTCGTCCGCCGGAACAGCTTCCGCATATGACAGATACTGAAAGTGAGAGAAAAGTGTTTATTACGTTTGAAATATGGATATTTTTCTTACAAAGACGCATGGATTCACTACAGGAGGTCTTTATTCACCCCCCGGAGCCGTGTGAGGCACGTTTTGTTATGGAAGCGTGCGCTTTATTTGACGACTTGTGGATTGTTACACAAGCCAATTTTCATTTTTGGGTGAACTAACCCTTTAAGTCCAAACACAAACCCAGCAGTTTATTGTAAAGTGAGAAGTCTTGGTGACCAGGTGCTCAAACAGCATGTTCTGGATGTGTAGAGAAAACAAAAAACACTATGATGCCAATTCAAGATGCAGGATTGGTTTCATTTAGGCCTACTCTTTCCTAAGAGGCACAGGCAAACATACAGCCAACCTGCGATAACTACAGACACCTGCCCAACAAGAGGACACAAACTTCAAAAGACAAAGTCCCCTGTCTTCTCATGGATAATTAGAAGCACCTTCACAAACACATGAAAAGCTCACCTGCAAAGTGCAAAGGTATATTTAGGGTCGTTCCAGGTGTGAAGTCGTACATTTTTTTTCTGCCAGCACAACTGTATCATGATGTATATATAAAATGGAAGTTCAGAAAATAAGCTGAATAAACTTTCAGATTTGTATTAATTTATTTTATATTTATTACATTAAAATTAAATGTTCTATTATTATTATTATTATATACACTACTTTCAAAAGTCGGTATGTTTTATTATTAATGTTTAAAGTCTCCCATGCTCACTAAGGCTGCATTCATATTATCAAAAATACAGTAAAAACAGAAATGTTGTAAAATATTATTACAATTTGAAATAACTGTTTTCTATGTGAATATATGTGACCCTGGACCACAAAACCAGTCATAAGGGTAAATGCTATTGCTACAAATATACCCCAGCGACTTAAGACTGCTTTTGTGCTCCAGGGTCACATATATTAAAATGTAATTTATTTCTGTGATCAAAGCTGAATTTTCAGCATCATTACTCCAGTCTTCAGTGTCACATGATCTTCAGAAATCATTCTGATATGCTGATTTGCTGCTCAAGAAACAGTTCTTGTTGAAAGTTGAAAGCAGTTGAGCTGCTTAATATTTTTGAGGAAATCCTGATAGATTTCTTCAGGATTCTTTAATGAATAGAACATTATAAAAACAGCATTTATTTGAAATAGACATATTTTGAAACACATTTACAGTTATGTTTGATCAATTTAATGTGTTCTTGCTTTCTTTCAAAAAACTTGCTGACCACAAACTTTTGAACAGCAGAGTTTACTATTCAATTTAATTTGAACTATTGCTGAACACTGTTTTTAACATTTCATAAAAGCAATAAGCCACTCTGTATAACAATATGCCTAACAACACATCTTTACCATAGTGAAAACACTGCAATATTCAGCTTTTAGTGGCATATTGCTTTTACAGCTGTCTTTATATGTTATCACAACAGACTCCGACAGAGAAAAGCCCCCTTTTCTCTTCTGACGCCTGGCCGTTTGGGAGGTCTTATTGGGGTGGAGCATCTGTCTTCCCCTTTACAGACTCCCACTGGACCACATCACAGAGAACATGGGGTCTTCATGCCGAAGTTGAACTCTCAATGCACGGCCATAAAGAGATAAAAGTACAACGCAAACACAGAGTCTGTTGATGTTATCAGGACCCAGTTGGCAATGTGTTCCAAAGGCCAATCCCGCTGCTCTTACAGAGATCACAAACCAGGAGAAACAATACACTTCCAGCAAAGACTAACTGGTGGGACTGAGAAAACAGGCATGAAGTCATTCATGTTAGACCATTAGAAAGCTAAAGTGGACAGAGACACGTTTAACCAAAACAAGTCACCACTGATCACTGTTGAGCAGACAAGCGGGGTCCTGAACTTTGACTCCCTGAAATAAGCTCTTATCGTCAACCAGTGAAATGAAAAGTAAATGGGCCATGTGTAAGTAAATAATGTTTGATCACTGTTCCTAATGACTTTATATGTCATGAATATGTCTGCGACAATTCTCTAGAAAGCGCTGCAGATTTCCACAGAATTCAAAGTTCGCCACCCATTGCATGTTTGTAATTTGATCATGCTTTCAACCATCAATTAACATGCCTGCCCATATTTAAATGGATAGTTAACCCAACTTTATAATTATGGCTTTATTGACCTACCATTATTCCAAATCTGCATGACCTTATTTCTTCCATGAAACAAAAGTCATTTATTTTTGGTCATTTATGGACCTTTACTGCTCCTGATCACCATTTACTTTTACAGTGTGTAAAAAGCAGCATGAACATTCTGCTAAATATCTTCCTTTGTGTTCTATGGAAGAAAGAAAGTCATACAGGTTTGGAATGACCTGAGGGTCAATAAATTATGACACATTTCAGAGTTATGTGTGAACTATTCCTTAAAATCCATCTTGCAGAACGTCCCTCACAATTCATTGAGAAAATGTGAGAATCTGTACAGTCATGAGCACCATTGTAGACCACTTCAGAGCAATACATGCATATCGAGAATTTTTTAGGGACATCACCCAGCCCTAGTCATGGGTATATGAATATTATAATAACAGGATCATCAGAAGAACTAACTGTTCGCAGCTCATCTTTTAGCACCCTGGTGGTAGAACATTTGCCAATGAGGGTCTGCATTAGGGCTGTCAAAAAAAATTTGAATTTCGAATATTCGTCGAATTTAAAATAAAAATCCACATTCGAATGCAAAAACGTTGCATTCGAATTTTAGGTGTGCGTTAAGGAGGCAGCCTTATCAGTGGCACACGAGATGCGATGACGATGTAAGTGTCGTTGCATTTTAATGTTTTTGTTAGCCTATCCAGTTGAAGCCACTAGATGCGGCGCTGCTGCGTTGTTCATTAAAAATATTGCGGGAAAAGAGAACATCAATGCAGAGAAGATCATGTTTACGTCAAAACTGAAACCAAGCCGCATATTTAGAGCATTTTCTAGAGGGACATCTATCACCGTTGCACTCGCGTCTCGCACTAAAGAGCCGCATGTTTAGAAAGCCATGTAAATTTAAAGCGAGTTTAACTTTGAAAAACCATATCTCGAGACTTTATGGCCAGGTTTTTCCCCATCCTACTGCAACTCGTGTTTTTAAATGAAAAATGTACTCTGTGTGATTAGCTTTCGGCCCTTTGTATTAAACTATGCATATATACATGATGCTGTTTTGTTTATAGTTGTTTAAGCAACTTAATTAATTATAATTGGTTTATAAACGTTATTTTAAACATTATGCACTTTTTTCACAGATAGTCATGTTATATTACGCTTTGAATAAATGTGCATTAGTAATATTTTGCTCGATGCGCCCTCTTGTGGCCT